TTAGGGTTTAAGTTACCATAATAGGGGTCTATAGTAAATAGTATGGTTTCCTTATTATGGTAACTTAAATTAAATTCCTTAACAAGAACCCAGTCTCGTGCTGCCTCGGCAGGCCGCGCACCTTTGAACGCAAAATGAGGACCTGAGCAGTTTCGTTGAAATGACCGTCTTTACAGCTGCATGTCGCATCGCTGGAATCCTAAACCATACAGCCTTAGAATGCTTGCAGCTTGCTTCCAGGTTCTCGATGTCGCTGTCCGTGCATGAAGCCGTGATGTCATCAGCAAGCCTCAAGCACACTCCACGCCCTAGATCCAACATCATCAATCCGAAGTTACAGCTGTGGGAAGCTGGTGCTTTCAGGCGTCTTTTGCCGAATTCCGGACCGCTGCAGAAAAAGCAGTAGTGTAGTAGTAACAGGGTAGTAGTATAGCGTGATCACAATGGTAACATAGTATTATTATAGTAATAATATCGTACTATCAAAGTTGTCTTGTAAGGGGGCTTTTTGACAGCTTTGTAGCAGACGATGGGTTTAGGGTTGGGGGTTCAGAGTCCTTGCGTTGAACGCAGACGGCTGCGGGGTCTAAGCAAGTTTAGGCGGGTTTCGGGGCGTTCGGGGGGGGTTCGGGCTTGAGGTCAACGGCCTAGGGTTTGTTTCAAGGCCTTAAATCCTAAAGCCTCAACCCTGAGCCCTAAACCCTAAACACCTTAAGCCGTAATCCCTAGCCCCTAAATCCCTAAATCCTAAGCCCCAGCCTAACCTTGAACACTGACCCCGAAGCCCTAAATCGTAAACCCTAGACCTTACACTCTAGATCCTAAACCCTGGGCCCTAAACCCTGAACGAAAAGTCTCCAAAGGTCAAGTCTTATAGAGGCCTGAATACTTGGAATAGTTTTTCGGAGATTATAGTTGGGGACTACAGTAACCAAGTGTTCAGCCACCTCTATTAACCCTGAATCTTCAGCCTAAGCGAAGCTTACACTTAGGATCGAAAGGAGATTCAGGAGTAGAGGGTTTAAGGCTCTCCGGCCCAAATCCGTATCCTTAAATTAATGCACCCTAAACTCGGGCTCGGCTCCTTACAGACCTTGGGGCATATTATGCCCAAAATTATAAGGAGGAGCCCTGAGTAATAATATTGTGGCTATGAAGGCATGTGGGTAGTTGTCAAAATTATGGTCCTTTTTTGGGGTACCCTAAATAATAGGTGCCGTAATATAATAAGGACCCAAAAAGGGACCATAACTTTGACAACCACCCATGTGTGTGACAATAGCACCTCCTAGCCCCTGACTGTGATTTCTAGCTGCGAGAGCTGGACTTTTGGGTATTGCACGGCGGGTACGGGTACGGAAGGCTTCTTTCGGGGAACCCTATCCTGAACCCAAAACCCTAAACCCTATACCCCCAAACTCGAACCCTTAACCCCTAGACCCTAAACCTTAAGCCTTTTACCCGACATTGGCGTTAGCCCAAGCTCTAAAAAAATAGGAACCCTTACAGGAACCCTTATTAATTCTGAAAGGAACCCCTATAGGAGCTCTCAGCGGAACCCTCAAAGGAACCCTTAAACGCGAATTGACCAAGTGGGTAGTTCTCTAAATTAAGGTCCCTTTTTAGGTCCCCAATATAGTACGGCACCCATATAAAAAGGACTCCAAAAGGGCCCCCAAATTTAGAGAACTATAACCCTAAAACCCTAAACCCTAAACCCTAAACCCTAAACCCTGAACCCTGAACCCTAAACCCTAAACCCTAAACCCTAAGTTCGCCTGCCAGGAGGAGCCAAATGCCAAGCAGCCGCTACCCAGAGCCGGGGCCAGCGGCTGAGAGTTCCCGAGCTCCGGGTTGGGGTTTAGGGTTTAGGGTTTAGGGTTTAGGGTTTAGGGTTTAGGGTTTAGGGTTTAGGGTTTCGGTTTGGAGTTGTCTATCCAGGGTTGGGGTCTTTTTTGGGGTTTAGGGGTCGAGGGTTTCGGGTTTCTGTTGGGTCGAGGGTTTCGGGTTTAGGTTTGCTGCGTCTGGGCTTTAGGGTTTGGAGTTTGCGTTCTTTTTTTTTGAGGGTTTAGGGAAACCCTAAACCCTAAACCCTAAATCTGCGGTTCCGGGAGAAGCACTGCAACCCCAAAGCCCGGAAGCCTGAAACTCTTTGCTCTGAAGCCCCCAAAACCCTAAACCCTAAGCCCCGGTTTAGGTTTAGGGTGTAGGGTTTAGGGTTTAGGGTTTAGGGTTTAAGGTTTAGGTGAGGGAGAAAGCCCTGGTCAACCAGGGGTATGGCGTGGAGACTTCCGCATGTTTTCCTCAAGGGTTCCTTTTTGGAAACACAGATGTCGTAAGCGTGGACCAAATCGACCCCAAAGCCTTTTCCGTTCCACTATGTCCTAACTAATAATCACCCGAACAGAACACAACCCGAAGCCCTAAACCCTAAACCCTGTCCAAAAAAGCTTACACCCTGGAGCGGGGAAGCCCAGAAATTGGGGGCCTACGGCCTTTCAAGACTCCATTGCTATTGCTTGCCATCATTGCTAATACAGGGGTCTTAGGGTTCAGGGTTTAGCGGTTTAGGGTTTAGGGGTTTAGGGTTTAGGGTTTAGAGAGTCTTAGAGGACGTGACACTTTAAATCTAGACCTGGAAACCAGCGAATCTTCCAGTCTCCATGCCCACTCCCGGCAACTTCGCTCCAACACCCCATGCGCAGTACGCGGACTTTTGAAAATTGGGTCCCCCTTTTTTGGGGGTCCGAAGGTTCACTGTTGTGTTGGCTCGCCGTGTTCTTTTATGACTGCCGTGGCGCCGTCAACAATCTTGCGACCTTGAGTCCTTGAACTTGTTTGTATCCTTATCC